AGCTCAGTCACTCGTGTTTTTGGGGCCTGAGAGAAGCACGCAGAAATGACGGGAGTCGCGTCACTCCATCGGAAGTGTGAGCGCAAAAAAAGAAAAAAAAATCATCAGGGGGGAGAGAAATGCTCACGAGGCCGACACCGAAGGGTGCGCCAGCGCAAAAAAAAAAAAAAAACACACGCAGTGAGAAAGTCAAAGAGAGCAAGCAAAATTCCTTTTTTAAAGCGGCAGGGTGTGGCTGTGTGTGTGGCGCTGCGGGTGTCTGCCCGCCCTGACCGCAAGGAAAACAAAACAAGAGGGAAAGAAATGTGTGCTCCGCCCCTCAGCGCGCCGTTCGTCGCGGCCCCTCCTCATGCGTGCAGCAGGCGAGGCGCACAGGGCCGTCGTCATGAGCGTGTCGGTGGGTGTGCGAGTGGAGCAGTTGGGCGGGAAACACACGGCACCCCTCACAGGAAGAGTGCAGCAAGAAACAATTGAAAAAAGTAAAAAAAAGAAAAAATCACTTCCTTAGTAATTGCCCCAAAAGCAAAAAATAGAGGGGATGGGGGATGAAAAATAAAAATTTAAAATTTAAACAAATTAAACCATTAAAAATGAGAAAAAAACGTTCATAGTGGTTGCCCCAAGGCAACAAGCAAAAAAAGGGGTAGAGAAAAAGAAAAACACAAAAAAACAGAATTGCGGAGAGTAATTCATTACCGGACGTGCGTCGGTGTGGGGGAGGGCGCAGGTGTCCCACACTGAGGCCGCACACTCCTCACGCAGTCGCAAAGCCCCACAGTCCCAGCAGAAGCAGCAGCGGCAGCAGTTCCCTCCCGTACGCGGAACCATCATCACCATTTGCCCCACCATCACCCTTTTCTCGTGCCGTCCCCTCATTCCCAGCAGAAGTCAAGCGTTCCGCTGGCGTATGCTGGGTATTGGCGGTTCTCCCCACAGTTGTCCTCCCCGGTGCTGCTGGTACTTCCCGTGGGCCAGGCACCGCAGGTGCAGCAGGTGCGACAGGTTTGGGAGCAATTTTCACTTGTGGTTCTGGAGCTCTCGTCGAAACGGGGATCCTGTCCTTGATTGCACGCATCTCAGTGGGATTCAGTGGGCGGTTGTACAGAAAGACGTTCGTCACCGTCACATGAGGTTTTTTGCCGATCTTCTTCGGACTGTCCTCCTGACTTTCCTCCTCCTCCTCATCACCACCATCACCATAATCACCAAGGTCGCACGCGCCAAAGCAAAACCCAAAAAGCTCAAGTGGTGT